ATCGATAACAACGCGTATCATCTCTGCATATAAGACGCCAGATCTTTTGGCGAGGGAAAGGGAAGAAATGTTTCTCTTTTCTAAAGAAAGAAGTTCCTTAGATGAGGAAATAAGACCAAGCAAGGGCCTGATCCGCAAAGAAGCGAGGCACAGGCTCATAGAAAGATGGCAAGAAAGATGGGATGGTGAGGAAAAAGGTCGATGGACTTATCGCCTTATCCCGGCACTCGCCACCTGGATAAATAGGAAACACGGTCAGGTTTCCTATTATTTGACTCAGGCGCTCACAGGTCACGGGTGTTTTAACTCGTACCTGTGTCGCTTTAAATTACGCGAGGACGAGGTGTGTGCATATTGCCAGTTCCCTGAGGACAACGCGGAGCACACCCTCTTCTCAAGCAGAAAATGGGACTTGGAGAGGCGGGCCATGTTCGAAGGTGTAAATAGTCAAGTTACACCGGAGAACATGGTATCGCTGATGACCCAGTCGGAAGAGAATTGGCGGCAAGTCGAGAAATTCATAATCTCGGTTATGTCGAGGAAGGATCTCGACGGCCGCCAAAAAGCGTAATTTAAACAGCTTTTAATTTTGTACGTTTGTTTTTTATTAATTTATTTTGTGATTTATTTGTCCTTATACATTTTTTAATTGTTTGTGTTTTTTATTCATCTTTGTACAGTTTTATGTTTTCAATATTTTATACGCGTTTATTTTTTCTTTTTTTTTATATATCCGTTTGTAATTTTATCTTTTGACTTTTTACACTTTTTAGAATTTGCTTTTTTATTGTTGTGCTGTAAATTCCGCTTATACTTTGAAATAGTTAAAAATTTTTTTTTTTTAACTATGGACGCAGGTTAACCGCAGAGAAAAGCAGAAGGTCGCATTAGCGACAGAGTTGGAGCGCCACCCTCGAAGTCTAAAGTCTTACGATAGTTCCGAGGGAGGGTAAAGGGCTCCAGAAGAAGGGTTACGGGTTTTAGTGGGTCGGGCTGGCAGTAGGTCGCCAGTTTATTAAATTTACTATTTTATATATTTATTTTTCTTTTTTTATCTCCTTTTGTTTTATCACACCAACCCCACATAACCTTGGAGTGCGGAATCCAAGGTATCTGTAGGCAGATTTCCCAAAAGTCCCTAAGCAAAAAAAAAAAAAAGATTAACCTTTCTACGACAAAAAAGCAATTATGGAAAGTTATGAATCGTGATAAATCCAACTTAGACTATTTAGTATATTACACATTGTGTAAATAAAAAGTTGGCGTTGGGAAAGTTCCAACACAGATATGTTTGTGTGGTAAATGCGGACCTTATAAAGATGAAAAACATTTGGGAACTTTTATTCTTATCCGCCTAAAACCTCAATAACGAAATTTATTGAAAGTGACAAATATCGCTAAGTACTTACGCTATAAGCATGAGAATTTAAAAATTACCCAGGAAAATAAAGAGTATATATATATTGTAGGCAAGTAGTTCAATTCATAGAAATTATGCTAAATTTTGGCAAATAGAAAAATGGATATGTGGAAGATGTGCACTGAGAGAAAAAAACCGCCAAAGTGGCGCCGTTTACTCATACAAATTTGGCAGTGTTGAGCAGTGTTGAGAAACACTATGGCATGCTAAAATGACTGTGTGAACACTGCAGTTTTAGCATGACTTTCCTGATACTTCTACAGTTTTATAATGCTAAAACTGCAGTGTTCCTATGCTAAAACAGCAGTTTTCGCTTGGCGGTGCAACTCCTGCTAAAATAGCATCACTTTACCGCTGAAACAGCGGCTTTTTTCTCTCAGTGTGTATTCTTCTATTTACCTTGAGTTGTTTTTTATTCACTCTAGGCAAATAGAAAAATAAATATCTTCCACATGTCTATTCTTCTATTTGCCAAAATTTAGCTTAATTCCTAGGCATTAAGCTACTTGCCTAATTTCTCTACTTGTCGGAAAAAGCAAACAAGAAATCACTTCTCTTTTGAGATTAATATACACGAATTTCCCCCTTAGAGACAAGAAATCGTGCTTTTTTCAACGTCTATTAGCACTTTTTCAAATAGCATATCTAAATGATCATGTCTCAATGATTCTTGCCTGACAAATTGTAATTTATTTAACTTGTGCAATTTCATTTACAGAATATTTAGGATATTCGCGTTTTTCATGAGATTACACCACTCTGCTTGGCTAAAAATTGATTGATTTTTCGCAGCATTTTCAATAACAAGATGCATGGAATCTCCACTTGTTTTCGTATATCCTTTTACCAAGTATCTGAATGTCAAACACTGTTATTTTTAATTTACATTAAGGAAAAATAAATATAAATAAATTTATTGTTAAAAATATATGTAGTGACCTACATTTCTTTTCCAATTATTTTTATTATTTATTTATTAGTTTAAAAAATGTATTATTTTTTATGTTAGAATTTTATTATTTAATAATATAATATATAATAATAATAAAAATAATAAAAATAATAATAATAAAAAATTTAATATTTTATTATTTATTATTTTATTATTATTTGTAATTTATTCTTATGTTTAATTATATTAATTGTAGTTTTTATATGACATAAAATTAATTTTATAAAATATACCGATGGGTAATGATAATTTTAAAATCACTATCTGCTTTCAAGTACATTGTGTACAAAATGTTTTTTCTATTTTGTCCAGTGCAGTTGTCGCTAAAAAGTTTAGATTTCTTTGACAGCTAGTCGATTATATCTTGTCACATGTTTCATTCCACACAATGCATTTACCTTCTTTGGGAACCAAATCAAAAATTGTGAAATTATAAATAGAAAGTTTTCCTTTGTAGTCCATGACTGATATTTCAGATAATCAAAGGAGGCGCATAAAATTCAAGAATCTTTTTCTGCTAATTCTTTATCATCTTTCATTAATTGACAAGCTAATTATTTATTGTTTAGATAGATTTCATGATCGTCTGTATATTTTTGGATCTGCCGTTCATCTTTTAATAAATTTTTAAATGAAGCACATTGGACGCATTGACCTTTTTTAGGTCGATAAATAATTAAATTGTATTCATTATTAAAAATGTGCTGATATCGATATATATTGAAGCGATATTCTTTTGGTTATTATCTGACATAAATGTTTTATAAAGCGAATATATTTTCTGAATGCTTAGAGTTTCATCAAAATACTCTCTACTTGAGTTGGACCTACAAATAACGAGACTCAATCCTCTCGAATAAATTAATGTGTTGCTAAATAGATTTATCAACTGCCTCTATTATTTTTCTTGGTTTACTTAACCTAATTAAAACAATGTAACTCAGTAAAACAAGAACCATAAAAAAGTATTGAAATTTGTGGAAGAAGAAACATTTTTTGAAAATAATTAGTAAAACATCGTAAGAAGTATACTTAATATGCATAAGTCTTCAATAAAGTTAAAGAACCTTTCATTTTGCTTCCTTATGAGGAAGCTTTGCATTAGTGACGATTTTCAATTTTTCAAAAGAAGGTTATATAAACTCATTTTCATCTAGAACATATGTATATTCAATTATGAACAAATGTCAAGACGTATGTGTGTGTGTATGTCACAAAAATTGTGTACAAATTATCTCATACAAATTTTGCTGGATTGTCCTGAAATTTTGCAGGTTTATTGCAGTCATTAGTACCTAAAATCTGACACAAAGATTTTCAAAAATATCTACAAAATTTTTTTTTATACAATTTTTTTAAAATTCAGAAAAAATTTTTTTTTGTATTTTTGGAAATAATTTTTTTTTTGTTAATATTTTCATTAATTATTCTCAAAATTACATCCCTGACAAGAAAACGAATCGATTGATGTATACAAAGTATATATTTTATCAAAATTTATAAAATTAATAAATATTTTTCTTTTTCACAAAAAATTCAAATTTTGTATTTTTTTCATAATTAATTTAATATTAATATTTTGAAATAATTATTCTACCATAAAACAGAAGCAATTGGCAAATGAAAGTGTAAATTTCACCAAATATTTATACAACATCTTATAAATGATTAATATAATTTTATTTTTAACAAATCTTCTGGACGAACCCTTTTGTACACAGTTTTTCAAAAGTTTGCAAAACCGCAATTTTTATATATTGAGGTAGCTAAATGGTCATGAAATGAACAACTTGTTTATAGTTATAATTTCAATGCTTTACATGAATTTTTTTATTTTATCAAAAGTTACAGTGTCAAAATTTTAGAAAAAATCTTGAAATTTATTTTTATTTTTATGGATTCTTTTACTTAAAATAGTAGGGTGTTGTGGGGTGATGTGCAACGTTTTTTTTCGTTGAACAAAAAACATGTCAAATAATTAAATTTTTAAATATTTTAAAATTGAATGATTTAGAGGCATTATAATAGAATATTTCTGCATTATTAGATTTTCAGAATTTTAAAATTTTCCAACAAATTTTTCGCTTTTTCAAAAACGTCCGTTTTTGCATTTACCAAAAAAGTTGGGATGATGTGTAACACCAGTAAAATTCAGCATAGATATCGATGAAAATCTCTTTAATTATTAATTTTAGGCTTTTTCAATGCAAACTAATCGAAGTCTGCCAAAAAAAATTTACTAAGTTACAGTTAACCTCTGAAAACTGGAGATATCACCAAAGAAAAAAATTGTTTGTTTAATTTTTTATTCATTCATAACTGAATAAGGAATATATAATTAAAGGAAAATAACTCAGAATTATGTATTCATCATGTGGATCGCAGTTATGGCACGTAAAGTATAAAAAAAGTGTTGCACATCATCCCAAATATGGTATTTTGCGAAAAATGATTTGTACGCAATACAATGCAATGGAAACACAAAATACTAACAGATATTTAAAAACACTTAAAAAATCAACAATTAACACATTCTTATCTATAAAATAAATTAAAACCCTTCACGAAACGACTAGAAATGTAAAGCGCGAGAAATATTTCCTGTTCGAGAAATTTAAGTCAACTTACGTACAGCAAACCTAGCTGCGAGCTGTCTCATGAGTTATATCTAACAAAAACAAGTTACTGAGGACACAAACAAATGGCAATATGTACTTGGCTCTGTTCAATATCGAACTGTAGATCAGAAATCGTCAGTGTTGCACATCACCCCACAACACCTTATTAGAAAAAGAATGTAATTTTTTTTGCACTTTACTTTCGACTGGAAATATTAGTGTTAGAAAAAAACATTTTTTTGAACCATGTTCTCAGATAGTTGAAAATTCAGGTGCGAGTCTTCTTAAATGTTCTGTTATAAAATCCTCTTACAATTCTTTATTAGTAATTTAAAAAAATTATAATCTTTATTTAATATAAGAATATATAAAATAACGCAATTATAATGATTAATATTTCAGAAATATAAATATGAGAATGACCGCTAAGATCTGCTAGTCAACATATTTATAGATATATTTGATAAACTTAGTTCACTATTATAGTATACTATCGTAACAGGTTAAATGATATAACAGAAAAATTATTTGTAAATAAAGAATATAAATTAACTTAGAGGGAGATTGAATTCAGTTTATGATTTAATCTTTAGTAAGCAACTGATCAAGACCTAACTAGAAATTAATATAAATTACATTTGTCTTTTTAGTGTTAAGTGAAAATGAAAATGTTGTTTGGAACTATTTTCCATGTAGTGATTATCTGCATTGTCTTCGATCTTAATTATGTGAGCAAAATCTTTATCATATTACAAATCAAGCACTAAAAAATATTTAAAATTAGATATAGAACTTTTCTCTTTACTTTTTTAAAATTAAATAAGCTTCACTATATGTGACGCGATATGAAGAAAGGAACCTAAGAAGCTAAAAATTATAGATCATGTTTTAAAAATTTGAATTAAAAACAAACAAAGAGAATCAGCTTTTAAGGCAAGCTAATGATATTTAAGTGTTTATTTCATGTTAAATATTCAAGAAACTTTTATTTAAATTTTAAAGAAACTTTTAATGAAGGTAAATGTGCCGGAAACATAACATATAATTCGTTTCCTTTTTAGCTCTCTTTCTTCATATCGCGTCACACATTTTGTTAATAATGTTAAATGTTTTGTTTGTAAAAATTATTTTTGAAATTATTTTAGACTGTAGCAGATTTCAATGTCCATTTCGGGATAGAACACGAGTCAAATAGTAATGTGGAGGTACTAAAATCATTCACATGTGCAACATTTTATGTACATTCTTTTTTCTGATAACATAGACTTTACAATAACATAAGAACTTGCCAATGATGTTGTATATGTGTTAACGTAGTAAACGTAATAGTATAGATAATATCAGAATAATGCCTAGTATTTTACAATTTACAGAGTTCTTACAAAAATTGTCCAAAGAATATGAAACTATTCGCGGAAGAGAATGAATATGGGCATGAAGAATTTTGTGACTGTGAAGATAATCTATTATATAATCCTGAAGATGGAAATTGTTACGATCCTTATAGAAAAGGACCTTGTTGGAATGGATATTATTTTGCACTTCTGCCTGGTGAAATAAGTGCAAAATGTATAAAAAATCCTTGTCACATTGATGGTCTTGTTCCTTATAATGGACAATGCTACCATCTGTGGAGATATGGACACCCATGCAGTAATAATAACACTTATTTAGGAATTAGTGAAAATTTCCAAATACAATGTGATGACTCCAAGTATTTAGGAACAATTGATGATCAGGTAACGTAATATAATGTTATTTTATAACTGTTTTATGTTGTAAATCTTTACACATTTAATTTCAGAATCCTTCTAAAATATGTCCACAAAATTCGTATTTACATTCGAACCATTCTCAGTCAAACTATCTCTGTGGGTGTAAAGATAGCTTTATATTCTCAAATGGTTCTTGTTATGAAGCTTATAGGCAAGGTCCTTGTCATCTAGGAAGTTACTTAATATTTACTCCAGGAGAAGGTCATCCGAAATGTGAAACAAATCCATGTAAATTAGATGGTATTGTTCCATTTGAAGGTGGATGTTATCAAATTAACAAAAATGGACATCCTTGTGCTTCAGATTACTACAAATTAACTGTGACCAAAGGAACATTTGAGTTAAAATGTATTTCCACTTCGACAACCGAAGTCAAGATGATGATAACTGCACCTGCTAAAATTTGTCGAGTTGGAAGTCAAAGAGTTCTTTTATTAGGATGTAAACATCTTTTTAAATAAAGTTCAACTTTTCTGTAATATATAATAATTTTTTTTGTTTATACACCCGTCTTAAGCCTACAAATCTTGGCTATACAAGTGTTTGTTTACATCTCGTAAATTTCTCTTACAATATTTCTTTATAGACATTTCCTTAATACTAAATTTTGCGCCTACAGAGCGACTTGCAAATTAGGAGTACTCGCATTTGCCTGGACCACCCGTCAATGGGTTTTCTCGCCAGAGAAGAGGGAAACTGTAGAAAACCTCTCTGAGTACAACCGGTTTATCGACAGTCGAGTTCTAATGGTGTGTACCGGACAATAATCGACGGTGCACATCATTATACCTCGACGTCAAACCTCCCGCTCAGATTGTCTCACGTGCCGGAAAAATACCAAGCCAAGTGGGCGCGAACCAAGGATACTTATACCCTTGGTCCTTAAACGACCACCAATGCGAGGCATCTATCCGACTGAGCTAATCTGTCGGTTATTCTGTAATATATATTAAATATATAAAGATTCTTTAGTTGCGTCTAAATTATAAAGAATGTTAATAATTTTTCATGATGTCATAAATATATAATTTTATTATATACAAACTTCAAGGCACAAAAAGCATTAACAACGGTGGTCTTGAAACTTAACTTGAAGCTTAACTTAATAATAGTTTATCGCGTCGTTAAGAAACTCGTATTATTTAATCTTCGTTAATTAGAATTATTTTTTTTAAAGTTCAATGTTATTTTTCCGGTTAATGGCTCATGCTGTATATTTTTGAATTTATAAAAATAATGTTGTTATTGATTTAAAAAATCTAACAATAAAATTTTAGAATTACCAACTAACGGTAACTTTCTTGGAATCATTGAATTATTGACTTTATAAGATGATTTTTAAAAGATCATTTACTTAAATATGCGGCATGTGTTCAGTAAAAAAGTATGAGTGGTAACTTAATCTGAGTACGGTTTCGCATAAAAAACCGTATTAGGAGGTTACAGTAAATTAAGGATTTCTAACCAAAGTTGAGAATATTTTTGTACAAATAAGGCAGCACAACCTCACTAATAAATGTTCGAGAATATTTATTTTGCCACAAATTTGCCTGCAATATATATTTGTTATAATCTGATATTAGTTAGTGAACTTTTTTGTTTAATCTATAATAATAATTATTATTTGAAAAAACATTCCGGGAATTTCCAAAAACAACTTTAAACTTTTACACAACGAAATATATACGCCATATAATTTTTCTAATTCCAGTTAATATCATTATTTTTAATTTTGTTTGAAATTTGTCCCGACAACAAATTCTTCGCAGTTAATAAGTCACTTTGGTCTTAAAAGTTTAAAATCTTTTTGCTTTAGTTTTTACTCTTTCAAAAATTGTACTGTATCTATAAAAAGCATGTGTGTTAATTCCAATAAAGAAAAATCACTAATGTTCTCTTTTTTCAACACAGCAAGAATGTTATTTGTTATTGATGGAAAGTTAGTAAATATCGCGAACAAAATTATCGATAAGCGTAATCACAATATCAACAATTTATCGCGGTAAATTTGGATGCACGCACCTAAATTTTCAACTATATTAGAACAAAATTAAAAACACTGTAACTTTTGATTAAATTAAAATTACATAAAGCATATGCCCTTTAGGGGTAACATACCCTTTTGACAACAAAAAAGAGTGATTTTTATAATTATTTTGTTACTTTTCATTGAAACTTTATTAAAATAATGTACGTTGCATTAGATAGTACTTGGTTTTATAAACTTTTAGCAACTTTAAAGCTTAAAAAATATTAATATTTATGCAAACTGTAGCTGTTGTCCCAAAAAACTTTTTTTTAAAGCGGCTTGCACGATAAACGGGAACAACTCAAATGAAATCAAAATCAATGGAAAGTTTGTTTGTTTACCATGTCACCTCGTTCGTGAACGAAAAAATTTTAATTTGTACCAAAATTTATATTTTCTTGGTTAAAAGAACTAAAAATTCGATTTTTGAGGGAAATCATTTTTAGTTCTAGGAAATTATTTTTTCTCAAACACCTTTGTTCACGAACGATATGACATAGTAAACTAACATACTTTCCATTGACTTTGTTTTAACCCATTAACGTCCAAGTGGACAGAAAATTGACATTGACTTTGAGCAGTCAGCTTTGTATGAAAATGACATCAGAAAAAAATTTGCATATAACATTTCCGATGTAAAATTTATTGTTCTTTCAGATACTGTTGTTAGAATTTGTTTATAACAAACAGGGAAAAAGTTATAAACAATTTTTTCCAAAAAAACAAGATTTTTCGAGAAAAAAATTTCTTTTAGATTATATTTTCACTGGGAAAAAGTAAGGACATTCTCTTGACAGCTCAAAATAAGTTGTCCATGAACCCTCAGTAATAAAATCCTGAAGCGACTGATTTTTTTCAAGATGGCGGACGCCAATATGGCTGCTAACTCTTAAAAAATGGTCCAAAAAAGCATCGTAATACCAACATTTAAAAAAAATGATTTAATTTGACTGAAACTCGTTACTCGGGGGTTTTCAGTGTCGCTGATTACAAATCTGATGTCAGTTTTTGAAAATTCAAAATGGCGGATCCAATATGGCGGACGCCAAATGTAAAAATTAATCAGATTGGCCTGATACTTGTTACTCGGAGGTTTTCGGGGTCGCTGATTACTCATCTGCAGTGTGACCAGACTGCAGACTCGGATCCGCCCCACCATAGCGTCAATCGTACTCCTTCCATATGCAACTAACACACTCACACTCCGCGCGTTTTACTTGTCGGCGTGCCTCTTTTTCCTTTTTCTTTATTCGCTAGAGAGACTAGGCGGATACTCAACGACAGTAAGCTAGAAAAGAGGCGCGACTTTTGAAATTCCTAATTCCACACGGAATATTAATTAAAGCCAAAAATAGTTTTTTCAACGTTTTTACTTAAAGAAATATTAATGATTAATTGTCAAATTGGTATTTTATTAAACAAGTCATGTAAATAAATTTTTTATTGATATATTAATTTATCGATTATTATTTAACTAGCAAAATCCTACGCGTGCTAAAGCGAGCGTGAATGATTTAGGCAATTATCATTTATAAATAAATTTAACTTTTTATCTGCAAGCAAAAATAATGTTCAAAATTAAAGGTTATATATACATAATAATAATTAGCTTTTCCGTTTTTTTAATATACATAATAATAATTTCCTATTTCGTTTTTTTATATATATATACATGGGTGATTTTCACGTAACTGTGCAATTTTAAGATAAGTTTTAAAAGAAAAAAAATTTTGTTTTTTTCATGTTAAATATCACTTTTCCTCATCATTAGGGCATAATATAGTTGTAATTTGAACGGTTTTACTACAGCTATAATTATAAAAAAATTACAACAAATTTTCGAAAATTGGCTGCCACGGAGCTGACAACCCTATGCATTGAATAATACTGCCGTCAACTGGGGCTACTTTATGTACTCGAGGTATTTAATAAATAAAATTATTAAAAAGAACTTCTTTGTCAAAAAACCAAAAACAAGTTAATTAAAATCCTTAAAACGATTAAAACTTCAACCGGTGAGCAACATAACGACAAAAAATTAACTTTAATTAATATTTATAAGTTTTTCAAATTAGTCTTAAAACTATTTCTCTCGTTTCTCTTAAAATTACTGGAAAAGTGTATTAGATATTAAATTGTTATTCATTTAACCTTAAATTATTAATTTCAAGTTTTTAAAAAATATCATATTCAAAACATTTAAAAAAGCTCGTATTAAAATGATGATTCAAAGTTATTTACATGTATTCAAAAAAAAGTTTTATAATTATCATAATGTATTATTGTAAAATGTATATTTAAAAAGAAAAAGTGTTATTTATTTTCTGAGTAATATAAAATTTGAAGAAAGGTTGTTAATTTTTAATAAATCATGATTTTAGCAAAATTTCAGTGTTTTATTTTACATTTTGTTGTATAATATTTACAAAATTTTTTGTTTAATATCTTATTCTTTTTAATTTACTCTGAAATATCTACACAAAAGATTTAATGAATAAGAAAGGATCAAAAAAATGTTTATGTAACATTATAAAAACACAAAGTTCAATGCACAAAGTAGCCCCATCCCGGGGTCTATTTTGTGCACAACTTTTAATGACTACAACTCAGACAAAAAAATTTATTTCATTGACGAACTCAAAGGAAACCTTCAGAAGGAAATATAACATATGCAAAAGTTGATCTTCTTTTAATTCTGAATTTGAATAAATCACTGAGTTAAAAAAAGCATTTTGATGCACAAAATAGCCCCAGCAAAAACATTTACTATTTACTATCAGCTTGACATAACCAGAGAATTTCATTTTCATAACATTATGAAATTAGCGCATAAAACTAATTGTAGAAAAGTATTCACAAATAAGAGCGTTACGATCAACAGTAATTATACTGTGCTTTTGCTTGGTTGTTGTAAAGGCGTGTTTTTCGAATATTAAGGTGTTTTTTAATAAGTCAACGGTTGTCGAAGCACTGAAATATAAAAGGACACAACTATGTCTGTCCTCTTCTATAATATGAGTTGTTGTAGCAACTGTTGATCCATGAATTTGCACCTTCACACTGTACGCCACAGGCGCCACGGAGCTGATATTTTATGTGACACCACGGAGCTGAAATTTGACATTTAAACTAACCTAACTCCGACAATTCTGCAAAATAATTCTTTTTTTTGGGCAGATAATTTGTTTCTAATATAATCTTTAAAAAAATCGCAATAATTACCACAGAGAGTGTTTAGATTAAAAGAATAGTAATACCACGGTACTTACCACTTTTTTTGTGAACTTCACATTTTTACACAAAAAATTGTTTTTAAGTGTACAACTTACAATTTTGAACCTTTTTTTTAATGATATTTGTTGCTAATGGATCTTATTTTAGATTGCAATTCTCAGATAACATTAAAATGTGCCATAAAAAGTTAAATTATAGAGAAAAAATCTTATTACAAAATTGA